TTTACATTAACGTGGCATTGTTTGCTGATGATACTACCATTTATTCTTGTCACAATAAGAAGCTTCCTCTGATTGCTTGCAGGGGGCATCTGAGCTTGAAAAGGATCTCACTTCTGCTACAGCATGGGGCTCACAGTGGCTGGTGAACTTTAATTCAGATAAAACTCATTTTTTTTCAGCCAATCGTTATTGCAATAATTTAGACCTTCCTATATTTATGAACGGTAATGTACTCGATGAGTCATCTACCCTTCATCTTCTAGGATTAACCCTTACTTCCAATCTTTCTTGGAAACCTCATATCAAATCCGTTGCAAAATTAGCATCTGCTAAAGTTGCTTCTCTTTATCGAGCTCGACACTTTCTTACTCTGGATTCTATTCTCTATCTCTACAAATCTCAAATCCAACCTTGTATGGAATACTGTTGCCATATCTGGGGCGGATCTTCTAATGATGCCCTTTCTCTTTTAGACAAGGTGCAAAAACGCATTCTAAACATAGTTGAACCTGCAGCCAACCTTCAACCTCTGTCACATCGTCATAATGTTGCTTTTCTTTCTCTTTTCTACAAATACTATAATGGGCACTCTCTAAAAAGCTAGCGTCTCTTGTGCCATCTACTAAAATTCATTCTCGTCATTCAATTAAGTCTCATCCTTTTTCTGTTACTGTTCCTAAGTGGTCCAAAAACTCTTACTCGTCTAGTTTTTTTCCTCGAACATTAGTTCTTTGGAATTCGCTTACTTCATCTTGCTTTCCTGATTCATATAATTTGCTGAATCATATAATTGATTCATATAATCTTTTAAATCGTCTGTCAATCGTTATCTTGCTCTACAATCTTTGTCTTTTCTCTTCCAGTAACTTCCAACACTAATTAGTGGTTGCTTGCAGCCTTGTTGGAAGCAAAAATGTTTAAAAAAAAAAAAAATTTAGATGTTATAATTAAATGTTATAATTTATATTACTTATAAAAATTAAAATCATGAGACTTGAATATGAACTAAATAAATTTTCAATAACCAATAGTTGACATACTAAAAAAGTATAATTTCAAAGTAACTTATCACATGTAGTAATTAGTGTATCCAATACTGAAATCATTTTTCAATACTGGTATTTTGGTACTGAATAATTTCAATACCGAAATTGATTTTTTTCTCTTAAAAATGTGTTTTAAGTTGAAGCGAGTGCCATAAAGCAATATTTTAAATCAGTGCTGGCCAATCGAAAAAAAATCCTTCACAGCAAATTGTATAAGTTTTGTCTATTATTTTCATAATAATTAAACTGACTAAATCTTCAATTTACTCTTATTTTATTCTCATCTTTATAAATATTTTGTTTACAAAGTATTCATTATAATAAACTAATTTTAAAGCAGAATCACACACAAAACAGAAAAATAAAAATTTTAGTTACTAGAAAAACTTTAATTGCTCGTAAAATATAATTTCCAACAAATACTTTTTAAAAATTGTATTTTAAATATTAGTAAAAATTTATCAAAAAGTTACAGGATTGCACTACTATCAAAATTATTAGAGTTACAGCAACCATTTAAATCCAGTTCAAGTAAGGTCACGCACGGAAATCATGCACTGAACTTGAAAATTTGTCAATTACATGTATTTATTTAAAAAAAAAAAAAATTGCTTGTGAGCATTTCAAGTGAAATATAATATCTCTACAAATCATATTTAATATATTTTCGATGAGAAATAGCAGTTTATTAGTTTACGCTAGAGTAAAGCATTTTAGAAAAATATTGTATATTTTTTAAACTATATATATATATATATATATATATATATATATATATATATATATATATATATATATATATATATATATATATATATATATATATATATATATATATATATATATATATATATACAGGCCTTGTTTTAAATAAAAAAGTGCTCAACGCATTAGCTTAACGCGATATTTGACGTCATAAGGTTATCTTTATTTTTTTTTATAGACGTTAAGTGTTTTAATTACCTCAATAAATGAATAACCGCAAACTAGTTCAATTTAACAATTAACTTAAATATAAACTATAAACGTTTTAAATATAAATTTATTATGAAAATTTTGTAATGTTTTCAATAGTTATTTTATTATTAATTTTAGTTCATTATTATTTAGTAAAATATATATATATATATATATATATATATATATATATATATATATATATATTAATTATTTCTGAAATTTGTTTTTGAATAATTGTTTTTAATCGTTATTGAATAAAAAATAATAATGATTTTTTTTATTTTTAATAATTTCTAGAGTAAACAAAAAATATTAACATTGATAAACGCAAACCCATGTTAATTACTAAACAACGATTTTGTTTCGACTAACAAAGACAAATTTAAGTTTTTAAATATTTTTTAAATTTTTAAAAGCGTTCAAAAGCGTTTAAAAGCGTTCAAACTTGCGTTTTATAAAAATATAAAAAAGTTTTGTCTGCTTTGTGCATATTTTTGATACGTAGTTTAGAACGCGTTCGCTAGGAATTTAATTCATAAATTTTTTATGTTATTGTAAAAATATTTAACTTTTTAAACAAATCACAAAGAAACAGAGCTATAGAGAAAAATCGTTTTCAACGATTAAATCTTTTTTTTTTTTAATTTTAGGAAATTAAAAAAAAAATTAAATTAAATATAAATGTCTTAACTATGCAAACTCTTTTGTTAATTATTCTTAAAACAAAAAAAAACAAATACTTCTACGCCAAACTTTAATCGTGCAAACTTAAAAAAATACTCAACTGAAATAATTTAAGTATATTTAATAATTTGAATCGTATCTGTTTATAATAAACGTTCGTAAAAATTTGTTTATTAAAAATAAAGTTCTTTAACTTATAAACAAACTCAAAAGTATTTTCATTCTACGTATAATTACAAAACTCTTTTTTTTTTCGTTTGAAAGCAATTTAACTTAATAAAATAAAAAAAAGAATAAATATGAGGTAATCTTTGTTAAGAATAACGTTAATTTATTTATTGAACTATATTTTTATTTTTAATTATATATCAACTTAATTAAAATATAGTAACATGTTAAAATATTTTAACATGACTTGTATTATTTATAAACCGTTGGGCAGTTGCCCTTACGGCACTATTGTTTTTAGATAATATTTTATTTTGATGAAGATCACATAACTTACATTTGATTTTAATAACGTAAGTCTTCTCTTTTTCTGTGATCATCGCATCGGCAAAGCATCGGCAAAGTCCCAAGATTTAAAAGTTTTTAAAGTAAATCTTTTGTCCTTCAAAATACAATCCATATTCGAACTTTAAACAATTTAGAGATAATAGAAATATACAAGGTTTTTATATACTAATTTGTTTTGTTTTATAAAGAAAAATACATAATCATTAGTAAAAAATGGAGACTGTCATTAAACTAAAACGTGCCTTAGTATTTATTTAACGGAACCTGTAATGTGCGCGTGCATAATAAAACCTCCGTTATATAAATATATTCAACGTAATATTAGTGCCATCAGCGGATGTTGTAGTCTACTCATGATTTCTTTACCTTATATTATAACTTGATTTATGAAAAAAAAAACTTATTGAATCGCACGCAGAAGAATTTTAACAAATTGTCTTCATTCAAATATTGCGAGTAACAGGTAATTTTTTTTTTCTGTGCCGACCCCCTCCCCCCGCATAACTTAAATTATATACTAATAAACTAATAAGAAAAGCTATATACTATTAAACTAACTATAAGCTATATACTATTAAACTAATAAGAAAAGCAAAGACATTTTTTTTAACATCTCGAAAAAATGTCTTGATATTTTTGTTATCATGATAACAAAAATATTAAGACATTTTTTGAGATTTTATTAAAAAAAAATGTCAATTCTTAATTACAAATTTTTTTGCAAATGTTTTGTATTATAAATTCAGTAAAAAATTCATAAAAAATCTATTATTACAAAAAACTTTTATATTCTGTATTAATAAATATGTAATATAGATTTTTTAAAAGTTTTTTTACTAAAAACTTTAAAAAATTACTACTTTTTATTAAAAACATTGCAAAAAATTTGTAGTTAAAGATTGACAAACAATTTTTCATGTTGCTAAATATTTGGATAAAAAGTTTAGCGTCAATTAATTGCTATAAAAAGGAAAGATATATCGCAATGAAAAGTTACAATAATTATTTTTAAAGAAAATTCTTTTTTTTAATAAATACCTTTACATAACGTTATTTAAAAGTTAATGTGGTTTTTTTGAAAATTAATTACTTCTTTTATGTTACCGCTAATTTAAAAGTTAAAAAATGATAAAAAGTAGCTTAACCAAAACAGCTCTACGCGTACGTAAAAAGCGCTCTAGGCGTAACGCTTTAAAACAAGGCCTGTATATATATATATATATATATATATATATATATATATATATATATATTCATGTAGCCTAACTATTCAGGTAGCCTAAAAGATGAAAACAATATTTTTGTTAGTTGTTCTTTAAAAGAAGTTTTTTTATTTTTTTAACAACAACTGCAACAGTGAAAATATGCTGATGTTTATTGGCTGATCTAAAACTGATTAAATTGAAAACATTTAATAAATTCAAAACTCTTTTATTAATTTTCACAGTGACAATAAAATTTGTTTCATTTTAAATGTGTTTTATATATGTTATAAACTGTTTAAAACATCAATAAAACAACTTCGCTCTTGTTTTATATTAATACAAGCATAATTTTATAATTAAGCATAATTACTTCTCATAATGACAAAACAATCTCACTGTATTGTTTTATTGTTTTGACAACTTTTTATAATAAAATTTGTTTTATCGACAGTATGAATATAATATAAGTAACAAAACCATATGACTTAATTATTTTTTTATGAATCAAAATCTGTCACATTAAATTAAATACTAGATTTAATTAAAAAAAAAATTACTCAAAACATTTAAATTTTACATAAAAACTTACACCAACGTTAAATAAAGAGCTGACTGGCTTATGATCACTGAGTCTTAACTCTACGTGACTTCGATAAGTAATTTGCTGGATATTCTTTCCTTTCCATAATATACGGTCGCACCATGCAGGTGCACGAAATTTTTCACTAGATTAAAAAAAAAATTATTGAATAGAAATCAAAAAAAAACATTAAATAAATTATAATGAATTGGTTCACTCATGATATAGGTTGCCAATCACATCAAAAATAATAACTTAATACCATGTAACATTTAAATTTAATCATTTTTGGCATACAGGCTCACATCCATGAAATAAAGATATGCTTTAAATTTCTGTGTCTAACTCCTACAGTTTCAGTTTTCTGTAAAGGAAAGTCTGAAAATAAAATAGTGCAAAGCATTTGTATCTCAAAAAATGTTAGATAGGCAATGAAAATTAGAGCATAACTTTTTTTCATAAATCTTGTGTTCAATTAAATCATTAAAAACTGAGATGGTAGGTTACCAAGTGTAAAATGATTTGGAAAATGTAACAAAAATAAAAAGGAAAATGACAATTACTTTAAAATTAAAAAAAATATTTGAGATAAAAAAAAAAGAGAAAAATTTTTTACCTCGTATCCCAATTATCAGTACCAGGATCATACTTATATGTGGGTTTAAAATTTATTTGGCCTTCTGAAAAACCTTCAAATACTTTACCCAGACTTCTTTGCCAATTTAGCTATAAAAAAAGCTTAAATGTTTTATGGTTCAAAAAAACTTTGTTTTCCTGTTTAATTTTCTTTAAATTTTTTTAAGTTAAAAGAATCAAAACAATTTACCTCTTAAAAAAATTTGAGTAGTAAAAAACTTCTTTAATCAAAAAATATATATATATACAAAACATACATAAAATAAGCAGGTTATTAAAAAAAGTATTTTTTATCATTAAATTATAATTTATTATAATTAAATTTTTATTAAATTTGTTTTGAAAAATTTTGTTGCAATATTATAATGATATAAAAGTCAAAATTTATTCTAAATTTTTAATCTTAAAATTTTGAAGTAACTGCCTCTAAAATTACGTGGAAATAATGAAGGTATAGTCTTTAATCTTCACATATTAAGAGACTATTGTAGATAAAAACCAAAAATTTTATTTAGCGGTAATCAAAGCCAAAATTTATCAAAACCAAATTCACCATAAAATATTTCTAGTTATTCAGCGACAAAAAACCAAAAGTTCATTTAAACCAAGGCCATAAATAAGAAATAAACTTTTGTGTGGCAAATATTGAAATCACTGGTCTGAAAGATTTTGTTTTTTCCCTAAATCAATGTCACATGAATACTTCAACTTTTAACATTTTTTCTTTTTGTAAGATTTACTTACCTGGTCATTTAAGTATAACTTATCATAATCCATATCATCACTCAACTTTTTAACTTGATCAGGATCTAATTCTTCAAATCGATAATTGAGATCACCCATCCAAATTATCACACTAAAGTGAAAAAATCAATAATTAAGACCACCTAACCAAGTATCTTATTAAAATGTTCTTAAATTAATAATTTTACTAGCTTCTTAATCTAAGTAAATACAAATCTAAAAATTTAAATCTGACATCGTAGTGATTTAGGGTGTTATAAGTGGTTCAATAAATGCATCAACTGATATTGGGGTAATATGCGAGGGAGTTACTGCTATTTGATTTGGATTGGGTCAGATAGGGCTCTTTCATTATACCTCATTTTTTTCTATTTTTTGTAAGAACACTGTATGGAATTAGACTGGCAAAAAAAAGTTGATATTTGTATTTTTATATACTATTGTATATATATTAGGGTATCCCAGCTGCTCCTCAAAAATTAAAATTTTGGTTGTGGACTCAGCTCTGAAATTGAAAGGATACACAAAAGGCAAATTAAATCTGGTGAACACATATTTGTTCCACATGATATCCTCAAGAATCTAATTGTTATTGCCTGGAGTGTAAAGAATAATATTAGTAATACTATGATGAATTTATTCTTACATTTGATGTTATCTGTCTTTGGAGGAGATGTTTCAAAGATAAATCTAAATTCCAGTTCAGCTCATCAATATCAAGCCATTAGTATTGCTCCATATCATCAAATAAATAAAGGACAAATGGAATTAAATGGCAGTACATTGGGATGAAAAACTGATGACTAACCTAGACTAATGATTGTCAACCTGTTTTAGTATACAGAGTTAATGGAACTAAACTTCTTGGTGCACCATATCCAAGTTCAACCATAAAAACTGATCTAAAATATGGTAATACTGTCTCTGTTGCAACAAAAAATCTACTCATAGATTGGAAATGTGACAAAAACCTCATAGTCATGGTTTTTGACACAAAACAAGATAGATGGCAAAACTTCTTTACACTATGAAAATAGTCCTCTATTCCAGAAAGATAATAGAACAGATTCCTAATTCAGAAGTTGCAACCGAAAATCAAATCAAGAAATTAGAACATTTCTGTGTGTTTGCTGTGTCTACACGCAATGGTGAATTAAATGCCCGTTTGCAGCTGATACCCCAGTCAATAATTTGATTTTAGTCAAGAAACTGAAAGTTTGCATACCATAATTCTAGTATTGCTGACAAGGAAATAAAAGCTCTTAACAGACATAGTTGGTTTATGAATGAAGACCTTGTTCCATTGGCTATTCTCTCCCAAATGGTATTTGACAAAGACAAAGAGAATATGAAGCTTACTTTCCTTACTTATGTTTTTTACAAAACATAAGTAAGGAAAAAATCAAAAAAGTTCTGAGGTTTGATGTCAGTTCATTCGCAACATAAGTAAGGAAAAAATCATGAACTTTTTATCTGCTCTAAAACAATATTTAATAAAAGTACAATTACAATAAAAGTTGTAAAATTACATAAACAAAATATGTAGAACATTTTTATTACTCATGATCAGAAATACTCAGATGTGGTTGAAATTGTGTAAACTTGATCTTATTATAAACTTCACGATAGTCCTAAAATAAAATAAAATGTCATAGAAATATACATAAACACGCATAATAACATACATATATATTTACCATCACAAAATCCTGCAAAAAAATTATTTATAAATAAAAAGTAAAAAAAGTATATATAAATGAAAAGTAAAAAAAAAAGAAGATGAATGAAAAATTGAAATATTAAAAAGATGAAAGATGAATTTTAAAGCATGAAATGACAGATACAATAAAAAATGTAACTTAGCTGAATGACAAGACACACAAGAATGAGTTTTGATTATGGAACTAGAGAACTACTACTCATAAAATACTCATGAAATACTCATGAGCAGCATTTTGCTCAGATTTATTTGTAGAAAAGATACAAGATACAAGAATTAATCAACTAAACTGTGGCGCAGTGGTTAGAACTCTGGCTCAGAAACCAGGGGTCCGAGGTTCGATGCCAGCTTTAGCCTCTCTCCAATTGCTGCTAAGCTGCATCTTGTTCTATTAAAGCTCTATTTTGTTATCTGTTAACTCCCTACTCAAATTACTAATCGCATTTTGTTCAAATTTTAATTTTGTGAATAAAGTGCTATGAAAGAGTGCAGTCTGATTTGTTAGGTATTTGCTTATTAATAATAATTACTAATATTAACATTTAATATTATACAATTTTAATGTGTTTCTTATTAAATAATAAAAAAAAAATTGCATTGCTCTTAATTTAACTGATTTTTCAGTTATTAGGTTTTTAATTTTATGTAATATTTTTTTAAAAAAATATCTGTGAGCAGTAATGCAGTATCTAGCAAGCTAGGTATTAGCTATGCCCTGGAAAAAAAAAATTAAAAATGTTATTAAAGCTAATTTAAAACACTGACAAAAAAAATCAGCAAAAAAATTCTTTCCGCAATTGCGCGGTCTGTCTTACTAGAATATATATATAAAAAAAAGGATACTAAAAATCAGAAGTAAAAACACTTTTAAAAAAAATTTATTCATTGCTTAACAACAAAAATTTATTTTACAAGTTTTTTATATATATATATATATATATATATATATATATATATATATATATATATATATATATATATATATATATATATATATATATATATATATATACAGGGTAGGGTGGGGTAATGTGGGTCTACGGGGTAATCTGGATCTAATTCATAATTATCTGTTATATTGATAATGGCTTTAGGTATAAAGTTGTAATTTTTACCACTTAGTTATAACACATTAGGCTAACTAATTTTAAAATATAACCTAGCTATGCTGTTAGAAACAGCACTTTTTTTTAGCTAAAATACTAGATACATAAACAAAGTCATTTCTCCGTTTTTAAACTTCAGAGAAAATATATTCAAATAAGGCAAAAGCGTATGAAAAATGGTTATTTTGAAAGATAAATTACTATATTTTAAGGATAGTATACCTTTGAAACACTAACGCAAATGGTTTGTTTTAAATTTGAAATATCAATTACGATATGTAATTATATTATCGAAGTTGTTGTTAGTAACATTAGAAACCTATTAGTTTCATCAGACATAACTATTTTTGAGTTAATAATTCTTTAGAACTATTAAATACTTATTGGAAGTTTATATCTTTGAAAAGTATATTAAGAAACATGTGTATCTATTTGTATGGAACAATATATTCAAAGTATTTTATAAGACCTACTTGGTGTTATAATATTTTGTGATATGTTATGATTAATGCTAATTTATTTCTTTAAAAATTTAACAGATTTTTCATAAATATTGATACTGATAGTTTGGAAATAGCCATTATGTTAGTATGTAAAGAAAAAAAGACTATTTATTATGCTGCTAAAGAATGTTCTGTTACTAAAGAAACATTGAGACGAAGAATAAAACAACAAGAATTTCATGCAAACAAATGCGAAGGTCAAAAAAGTGTGCTAAGTGATTATGATGAAACTATGATTGTAGCTGCAGCTCAGTATTGTCAAAGATATGGTCTTCCATTAGATTCTCTTGACATTTGTTATTTAGTTACTCAATTTTGCACAGCTATGAGGATGAAAACTCCTTTTAAAAATGGAATTTCTGGGAATAATTAGATAATTTTATTTAGGAAGCGCCGTGTTGATAAACTTCAATTACGTAAACCTGAAATACTTACATTTTCAAGAGCTAAAAGTTTAACACGTGAAGTTGTAGATAATTATTTAACTATTTTATCTGATTTAACCCATAATAATAACATTGTACCAAGTAGTAGAAACAACCTTGATGAGACTGCGCTCTTTACAAATCACTTAACAAAGAGAGTATTTGTACATCTAAAAAGCAAAGATGCTTATGAACTGTCTGCTTCTTCTGCTATCTATTCTGTGCTGTTCTATGTGTCTTTAGAAGATATCTTCCACCATTTGTTGTTTTTAAGGGAGAAGGCTATCTGTATTCTAAATGGATAGAAAATGGACCACCAGGATGTGCTTTTGGGGCAACAGCAAATGGACTTTCTATTTGAAAACTTGGTATTTTACTTGATTTTATAATTTTCATTTTTTTCTTCCAACTTTTTTTTTCTTTTTTTGTTGTTGCCTTTTTTGTTCTTGAAGATGGTACAAATGATTCAATAGAAGTAAATACATTCTACATTTAGGTTTGTAGAGCATTTTATACCATTTGTTGACCAAGATCAAAAACCAATACTCTTGTTTTATTATGGTCATGGCAGTCATTTAACATATAGTACCAAAAATCTCACCATTAAGTAAAGAAAAGATGGAAAGAAGAATAACAGGTGTTGACTTTCTAAATCAATCACCTGAACATTATGGCTCTAAATCTCCAAGATTACAAACACTAAGATCGGCTATGCAAGAAGCTTTAAGGTCAATCATATGTCCTAATACAGAAACAGCAGCAATAATGGAACAACAAAAACAAAAAAGGATGAGAATACAAGTAAAATGAGGAGAACTCCTTACAAATGAGAAAGTCAAACAACGGTTATTTGAGAAACAAAGTTAAAAAAATACATATATATATATATACATAAGTATATACACATGTATATATAAGTATAAACACACGTATATATATGTTTATGAGCTGTTTATTTTTAAAGTGGCATTAGTCACTTTGTTTTAAAAAAGATATTTTAAAAACTCTGTTTAAAAACAAAACGTCTTTCCAAAATATATAAAAATTGTTAAGATATTTTGCAAAGAAGTTAAAAGTAACAGGATGGTATTTGGTAAATTAAAAATACCATCCCACCTAATCATTATTAAATAAAGAAATTTATAAAAAGGTGGCGGGATGGTTTATACTTTATGAATAGGCGACGAGATGGTATCTTGGCGCTGTTTAAAAAAAAAAATTTTTTTTTTTAAACATCTTCACTTCCAACAAGGCTGCAAGCAACCACCAATTAGAGTTGTAAGTTACTGGAAGAGCAATACACACACTATATATATATATACACGATATATATATGTATATATATATATATATATATATATATATATATATATATATATATATATATATATATATATATATATATATATATATATATAAACCATCATGTTTTAGACATTTGTTGTGCTACATATTTATACTCTTAAGGAAGTTTGATATGTAAACTTGAATACCTTGGACCAAAAAAATAATAGAAGTCTTAATGAAAGTATTGTGTTTAATCAATTTTATATTTCTCACCTGATTTCTTCGTTCATACTCAGTTTGATGAGCAGCAAGATGAGAATTAACAAAACATATTGTTGAATTATGTAGTTGGAATCTTATTGCAACACCTCCTTTATTACCCTAAATAAGTTAATATTAAAAGTTTTTTTATATTTTTATTTTTTATTTTATAAATTAGTAATGTTAATAACAGGCATTGTTACAAGATTTTGTTGTATAAGGAAAATGCTTAAGGTTTTTAAGTACCATATTGTAATAAAATTATTAAATCATGTATTGAATCGTTTAATGAATATAGCTATAACAAATTTAAAATGAAATCTAAATACAATAATTTAAAAAAAGACTATATTACTTTATTTATTAAAACCATTAAAAAAACAATTAACATTAAAAACAAACAATTCGTTTATGTGCTTTATCACAACTTAGTTTGTTTTTATGCATTTAATGAACTATTTTTAAAAGACTATAAAAAATATATAACAGGTAATGACTAAAAAAATATGATTTTGAAGCAAAGTTATGTAACACATTTTATAATAATTATGCTTGAAATCTTAGTCTGTTTCATTATTAATTCTCTACAAATTTTTATTTTAAATTAAAATAGTTTATTGTTACAGAGAAAAATGAAAGAAAAATAAGAAGCCTGACATAAAATATAAACCCTCATATAAATAAATAAATAAATAAATAAATATATATATATATATATATATATATATATATATATATATATATATATATATATATATATATATATTTAAATGTTGACATCTTTAATAGATTTTATTTGTATAAATATTTTAAAATAAAACTTCTTTTTATGGATTGATTTCTATTTGCAAAAATTATATTTATTTTTACGATTTTTCGAGGGAATATGGGAATATAACGGTTTTTATATACTTGATAATGAGGGTATCCATATTCCCTCAATATATATATATATATATATATATATATATATATATATATATATATATATATATATATATATATATATATATATATATATATATATATATATATATATATATATATATATATATATGTATATATACATGATTTAAATGTTGACATCTTGTATAAGAGTATAAAAATAAATAAAAAAGTGAAACATTATTTAATAGATCAAAGAAAGACATTAAAAGAAATTAAAGAAAATAATTATATTGATATATATCCGTTTGATAAAGGTACCGGTTTCGTAAGAATAGAACACAACGGTTTTCGAAAGCAGAATATGATAGCATAAACCCTAGTGATCCCGTACCACCTCGTTTATATGGTCTTATCAAGGCTCATAAACCTGATAAACTGTATCCAATGAGAGTTGTAGTATCAACAATCGGCACATCTAGCTATGGAATTTCAAAGTACTTGGTTAAAAAAATACAACCAGTTTTGAATGAAAATCTAATAAGGTTAAAAAATTCCAATGATTTCATCAACAAAACTAAGGCCTGGATTATCGATAAGAATGAGTTACAAGTATCTTTTGATATTGTAAATTTATATCCATCAATACCATTAAAAGAAGCAACAGTTATTCTTTTAGATCAATTAAATAAAAACATTTCCTATAAAAACTCAAACAAACGTGATATAGTAGAAACTAAAAAACTAATAGAACTTTGCTCTATTTCATAGTTACTTTAGTGGAACAACGAGATACACGAATTAGAAAACTCAGGCCCTATTGGATTATCTTTTATGGCTGTTTTAGCTGAGTCGTTTCTACAGCACCACGAGAAAAACGCATTAAAGATAGCAAAGACTATAAACCTTTTAATGATATTAAATATTTTCTTCGATATGTAGACAACAGTCATGCTAGATTTCCTAATTTACAATAAGCAAAACAATTCCAAATAATACTTAACAAACAACGTCCGCCATTGAAATATACAATAGAAGCTAAAAATTAATTAAAAACACTAAATTTTCTTTATGTTACCATAATTAACAATGCTAATGGTAAACACGATTTTAAAGTTTATAGAAAAGATGCTATAACCAATATTCAGATTAAACCTCATTCAAATCAGGATCCGGAAATTTTAAAGTCAATATTCAAAGGTTATATTCATAGAGTTTACAGAATATGTTGTGAGGCATATCTTCAAGAGGAGAATGATTTTTTAATATATTAAGTGAAAATGGTTATAACAAAAGTCAGCTTCAAATAATTGCTAACCAGGTTAAAATAAAAAGATCTACTAACATGAATGAAATCCCTAATGCAAAAAAAAATTTAAATACCAACAAATCCAAATGCACTTTCTACAATCTCTTTACCTTGGATACCATTATTATCTCCAAAACTTAGAAAAATATTTCGGAAAGCTGGTTACCACACTGTTTTTAAATCTAATCATAATTTAAGGACTCTAATAACATCAAAAAACAAATCGAGGCTACCGGACAACAGTAAACCTGGAATTTATTTAATTGAATGTAATTGCTCCAAAGTGTATGTTGGTGAAACAAAATTACAAATTAGAACAAGATCTCAACAACACCAAAAATGTTTGATGAAAGATAAGTATTATCAGTCAGCTTTAGCCCTTCATAAAAAAGACTGTAGAGAAGAAATTAATTGGGATAAAGTTAAAACACTTAAAAAAGAATATAATAAATTTGATAGGAAAGTTCATGAAGCATTAGAGTTTCAAAAACATCAATGCTCTCCAATTTATGGTAGAATAAACTTAGATAACTGATAATACGTTAAAACTAAATTTTGGACTCCATTATTTTCATTCTTGCATCAAAGAAGCCGTTCTAACGCTGGCGTCAAAGATTAGTTTTTGTCATTTATTTTAACTGTCATAATTGTAATTTTTAATTACGATAAATATATATAAATATATATATATATAAACATATATATATATATATATATATAAATATATATATATATATATATATATATATATATATATATATATATATATATATATATATATATATATATATATATATATATATATATATATATATATATATATATATATATATATATATATATATATATATATAAAGTTTACAATAGATCACTTTCTGGTTGAAAAAAAGTCTTTGGAAAATCCAAAGACTTAAAACAATATTTGACAACAATGGTGTGTTACTTAATCAGGCCAAGGAAGAAGAACACTATTAAGTTATTGTGACTAAATAGGATCAGCTAGAACATATATATATATATATATATATATATATATATATATATATATATATATATATATATATATATATATATATATATATATATATGCAAATAAAAAAAAACTCTTATTAATGTAGAAATTGTACATAAATAACCATCTTTCACTCTTAATCATTGCAATTTTGTCACTTTAAAATGTTTAAGCAGATAAAATAAGTTTACAAATTTATACAAATTTTACAAAATAAATTTATAATACATTTGTACACAGACAAAATATATATATTTCATTAGGATGTGTAAGTACACTTACTTTTCAATATAAAAATTTTGATACATAACAAAATCTAAAAACCAAATATATTATTTTGTTTTTAATTGTATTTTAATTATACAACAATGTCATATATTAAATCTGTTATGAATTAAAAGCACATGAAATAAACAATTAAGTCTGTAGATTGCAACGTATATAAAAACTCTGAACACAAGTTGTCTTGGTAGTTAAGCATTTCTTTAAAGTTAATTGATGAAGATTAATAGAAAATAGTTAAACTATATATATTCATAGCTTTTTTTTCTTTAAACTAAATATACTCATAATTTTTTTCTTTAAATTTTTTATCTGTTGTTTATTTTAGACCTAGTTTAAGATAATATGAAATACCGCATTAAGGCAAGAAAAACCTAATTTACGATTTAATATTGTTTCCATGCTCCAGTCATAGCAATTTTTTCTAATACATTTTTACTTCGCATAAGTATTTATACTTAAAAAATTTAAGCATTTTAAATGACAAATTGTTATTAATTTAAATAAGTCATATTTATTTAGATACCAGTATATAAATTTCTTACCCTTTCTTATAAAAAAAAGTACTATAAACTTATTCCCATTAAAATTTTTTAGCTCTGATTTTTTTTTTTTTTTTTTAGAATCCTAGTATTCTTTCTAGCTATGATGCTGTTACCTAAATTTCCTATTTTAATTATCAAAGAAAAAAAATGAATTTCAAACCATTAATAGTTTTAACTAAATAATTAAGAATTGTAAATAAAAATTTTAAAACTTTACCATCATACCCATAATACCAGTTGCATTGGTTTCAGCTTCAAGATTCAGTACTTGCATCTTATGCTTAGTTTGAACATAAACCACAAGCATCATACCAACTAATCGAACATGTTTTAACTAAAAAAGTATTTTTTAATGATTTATAAATATAATTTACTCATATACCAAAAAGCTTTTAGACTTTTGTTTAAGTAATAAAAAAGATAAATAAGTTACACCTTGAAATAATCAGCTCGTTTTGGTAAAGCATTTTCAATTGCCTTAATCCATAAATCTTCACGACTTGAATCATTAAACACAAGAGCTTCAGCGCTTAAATCTAACTCTTGAAACCTAGCATTAAAACATATATATATATATATATATATATATATATATATATATATATATATATATATATATATATATATATATATATATATATATATATATATATATATATATATATATATATATATATATATATATATGCATATATAATATATATATATATATATATATATATATATATATATATATATATATATATATATATATATATATATATATATATACATATTTATTTTATAAACTTAATTTTCTTCTCTAGTTTTATTGTACTGAAAAGATTATGGGAAAAAGATATTTAAAAAAAGCAATTTAAATTTTACTGTTAATCTTTAAAACACATAGAAACCACAACATTACTTTTTGCTCAGAATCAACTCTGAGCTCTGTTGATGAAAACGAATATTCGTCTACCTTTTATAGAAATAAGCTTTTCTAGTCCAGCTGAAAAATATTTTCCAATTAACATAAAATAGTTGATATTGTTTTTTAACTTCTAGATTTCTTGGATGTAGTTTTTCAGAAAAAAATAACTTTTTTTAAAAGATTTCTAATATGAAAATAATAAAATTAGACTTTAAATATCATAAGCCAAACCCAAAAGAATCAATTGTAGAATACTCTATTACTAATAGAAACAAAAGTTTTTTATATAAAAAATTTCAAAGAAATACCATAATAAATTAAATTTTTTTTTGAATTTTTAATTTATTCTTAAAATTTGTTAAGTTTTGGTAAATAAATATTTTTATAAAATAATTAAAAATAATTTTTATAAAATAATTAAAATTTTTAAATAAATTAAAACAATTAAAATTAATTTTTATTATAAAATAATTAAAAATAATTTTTTGGTTGGACATTTTATATGTACTTCTTTGTTTTATATGTTGATGAAATGCTAGTCTCCTTTGTATTTTAGTCATTTTTTTTTTATTTAGAATAAATTATATAGAAATTATAATAAAGAGATAATTTCCAATTAATCGGTAAATATGTTGTAAACAATTTTAAGATTAATTTTAAGATTTTTTAAACTTTTACGTTTTGTAAAATATTTTAAAAAAAGTAAAAACTCTACAAAAATCTACATGTTACAAGAAATACTTTATCTATTTATATGCACTTCTAATACTTTCAACAATATAAGCTTCTCAATAACTTAAACCTAATTGATTGACATGTAAACCCTTGCAACATAGCACTCAGAGCTCAACATTGAATCAGATTTGATTGCAAGATGTTTTTCAACAACCGTGAAAAACATCTTGCAATGAAATCTGATTTGATGTTTGCGAGGTTTTTCAACAACCGTGTAGTCAATGACTGGAATGCTTTGCCAGATAACATTATCAAGGCAACAGTTGATTTAAACACTGGGCATTTTTCAGTTGTCATAGTTACTATAGTTCATCATTTACTGTAAATGCCACAAAAAATAGTCTGGCTATAGACGTATATTTAGCAAATGAGTTAAGTATAGACATATATTCAGCTAATGATGAATGATTTAAAATGTACATGTATTGACAACATATCTACATGCATTATCAAACTAACTCACCCTATAGCTAAAACATCTGGAGGTTCAGTATTGCAGTCAATCCAAGGCTTTAGACATTCAATAGCTAACTGTCCATTAACATTCCAAGTACCCGTAAATACACTGAAATTAAAAGTCATACAATAATTAAACTATTTATGTAAAACCCATTTAAGTTATAAAAAGTAATTTTATAAAATACTTACAGAAGTAAAACCTAATTCTGTAAAAGTTAGGACCTCATCCTATATATGTAAATATTTTAAATAATCATGATCTAAATTTTACATGTTGTTATGTTAATATTTAAATTTTATGTTAATAACTAAAAATAATTTTTATATTTTATTAAAAAAAAATGACCTTTAAATTTTTTTTTTTTTGTATTATAATAATTAAAGACAAATTTATCAGACACTGATTTTACAATAAATTTTATTTGAATTGATTTTAATATTATACTTTATTAAAGATAATCTGAGATGACATAAAGTTGAAGATTCAATCAGTTGCCATTTATAAATAAAGAAGCACCAAAATTAATGAATTAACAATCAACTGTAAACAGCAAATATAGCAAAAATAGAGTTTTATTTGAGCCAAAATATGTCAACAACTGCAAACTCCAGATAATAAAGAAAGAAATCATATTCAAGATTGGCTGCCTGCTCTAAACAGTGAAATATTCATTATATTTTATCAAGACTGGAATATAGTGTACAAGAATATATAGTGGAATAGTGTGTATAAGAGGATAAAAAAATATTTAAATTGATTAAAGACGCAAAGAAGATTAATTGAGAGTAATTGATATGGAGAGTAATTGAACTATAGTTAGAAACCTTAGAGTGATTTCCAGAGTTTTAATTAATAGGAATGAAAAAAGTGGTTTTATAGAAAACATCAAACCAAAATTCAGGTAAGCTCTCATTAAATAGTTTTAAGAGTACAAAAGGGAGTTTTGCAAACTGCTGAAGAAAAGTTTAAGATAAAAATAATTTTGGTCACATAATCATAATACTTAAAGATTTACCAAGATTCTCTGGAGCCTAAATTCTACAGTGAAATAGAAGACTTGGTAATCGAATTAAAAAAGAAGATTGAAAATCTTAAAAATTAACAAAAGAAGAAAAAGATTTAAGCTTGGTCTAAACCACTAAAAAGAAAAGGAAAAACTGAGCAAAAGGCCTAATCTTATGTTTTTTTTTCATAGAAATATGAAAATATAACAATATAAATAGATAAGCAAAAGCACTCAAAGAAATAGTCATACAATTCAAACATGATTTCATAACAAATAGGAAAAGTGGTATGTAAGTATATGCCCAAGGTACAATCAAAAAGATCACTCTTTTTTTAAACTTTAAATTAATATTACATTCCCATAATTCTGAAAAAACAAATATTTCTAAGGCCGGAGAAATAATTATTAGTACTTGTTAAAGTTTATTAAATAATTTAAAAAGATAATAATAAACATTATTAAAACTATTTCACACATACTTTAAATTATCCTTTTGTTGTTTATATGTTTCAAGTCAATTTTTTTAAATGTTTGGAGTTAATTTTTATGTGCTTAAAACCATATTTACCAATAAATGTTAATTTGTAATGAGCCATATTTGAACTAGACCTGTTGTATAAGTATATACGATAGGTTGTATATATTGTTACATATAACAAAAATCAGAACAACAACAATAATAATAAAATTCTGAATAAAAAAGCTAAGAAAATATACTAAAAAATATATATATATATATATTTATTTTTATTACTAAGTTTTTATTATAAAATATATTTATAGTATTTTATAATATATTATTATTTTTATAATACACAAGTATTTATATTATATTATAATATAACTGATTATACCTAAATGGGTAAATGTCAGTAAATTCTTTTTCTCTAGCAGCCATGTGTAATCTTAAATAATTTTCCCTAGCCCGAAAACCTTTTACATCAGTTGATGTGCGATTTAATGGTATGCTTAGTGGAGGACTATCTGACTTGGAAACATCTACACTGTCAAGAACATCGAAAGCATCATTTGTAGAGTTGCTATTATTTTCCTCCTAAAAATAAAACAAAGTTTATATTATTAAAATTCTTTGAGTTTATACTGTTATAAGAATTTTTTTCTAGTTTTCCCTGATAGTATCATACTTTACTTATTTCTAAGCAGATTCGCATGTCAAAATTCGTGTTCTTTTTTATGTAAAAAAATCACATAGAAAAGAACAGGTTTCTCATAATATTTACCTATCATTTTTTTGAGCCTCCACAATTTCGACCTCAATAATAGTATTGAGTCTCCTTTAATATTAGATCAACCATGTGAAGGTGAATATAAAAGTTATCAAAAAATTTACCGTAAAACAGTAAAGCCCATTATTATTAAGTTAAAAACTGATTCACCAGACTAAAGCCAATAACTTCAGATAACTAAATCTTTTTTTAATTTAAACCAGAAGTTAGACTTTAAGGGATTTAAAAAATTTCTAACATCATTAACATTATGTTTCATTAACAAATGCAAATCATCTGGAATGGCAAAAATATTAATTAAAGTTGTTATCTGTAAAATTGTTAAAAAGTAAAAAATATATTAATATAATAAAGAACTGTTGTTGCAATGGATTTGTTAGAAAATTGCAATGGAAGAGAGAAATAAATTTTTTCATCAAATTTTTAATATAATATAATTTAAAATTTGATTTAAGAAAAAAAAAGAAGCTAAAATCACTTCTGAAAAAACTATTTTTTAAAATTTTTTTAACTTTTTTTTTTTTTAAATAACACATGCAGGCTACCTTTTTATTACTTTTTAATTAAATTTTTCCAGAGTTATTTGAAGAACAGCAGAAATATAAAAACAAAACTTGTTTAATTGACTTCATTATGAAAACACATGTAAATATTTAACAATATTTTGAGATTTTATATTTGATTTAACTTGATTTAAAATGTTTTGCAGCTAACATGATAATGGAATAATGATGAATTTTATTTCTAAATTTTTTAATAAAATACAAAGTTGGTTAGAGAATGCTATAGAATTTCAATTAAATATATTTTTATATTAAAATTTTAAATTTTAATATAAATTTTTAAAACTGATTAGAAAAAGTATGAAATCATAAAAAAAAAAGTAAATTATATATTTTTTGTGGTAACAAACAATTGAACCATGATAAAGCACAAGTCAATTTTATAAACAGACATAAAAGTGGTCAATAAAACATCCAACATTAAACACTTCCAACAAATCTGAAGGATAACAGAAGCATTTGCATAGTCTATGTAAATACTTCTGTTATCCTTCAGGCAAAAATGTGACAAACATGTAGTGCAAATAGGTGAATTTATATATAAGTATACATCAGGTCAAGTATGTGACTATAGAGTAGTCTTAGTAAAACAAAGACTCCAATAAACTTTTTGGTATTATAGCCATCATTTTATAAAAAAAGAACTTGATTCAAAAATAGATGGTAGATGACACCCTAAGAATAAGCTTTAAAGTTGCCTCCAATGCTATTCAACCCAAAATCATAATAAAGTAATAATATGCACTAAACAGGGGCTTATCTAGACCGCTTTTAATAGTGTTAACCAAATTTGGGCGCCGCCCAAATTAAAATTTGAGCACCTTTTTTTTTTTTACATTTTTATGGAAAATATTGTTTTTTTCATGAAAAAAAACACAGATTTTCCGCTAAAGCTCGCTGAAACCGCCCAAATATTTTTCCTAAAATAGACCCTGCTAAAGGCATTGACAGGGGAAAAACCCATACACAACATAGTATTGTTAACACTCTAACATTTTACAACTGTTGATGACATTGCCTCTCTGAGGACTATCACAGAATTAAAGTTCAAGCCTTACTAACAGCTGCAGTGGGACTGTTCTATAAAAAAAGCAAAATTATTTTCCCTATAATTGCATAAAGCTATCATTATTTTCAAAAAATACCTAGAATTTGTAGCATAGATGCCCATACAATTTTTTCCATAAAGAGGGTGAAAAGCTATGAACCAAAATAATGCCTAATTAGCTTATTGATAATTGAAAATACTCATAGTTAAAAAAAAAAAAACAGGTCTTCAGCAAAAAAATGGGCAGAGGTCATTTGCCTTCCCCCTCCACTCCCTAAAGTTTTTTTAAAAGGGGAAATAACACTGCCAACAGTGATTTTGTATCGGAACCAAATTAGTTATTTCTTAGGTATTTTAATCTGCTGAATTCAAAAATAACATTAAAAATGACATATTAGCTCTAGTTTAAAAAATAAAAGCAAAAATTTTCTCTTGAGACAAGGGTTTAATTAAGCGATCGCTAAATGAAAACTCCGGAAAAATATCTGGTCTTCAAAATTTTAGTTTACGCAAAACCGTGTACTTTGTTTCCTAGGGGCGAATTTGACCTATTCCACATTCAGATAGTTTATCAGTGTCTACTTTACCACAAAGTTGTGAGTTAGAAGCAGAAAATGAAGACTGAAATGAATTAGAAATGGAAGAAAAAGAAGAAAACAGGCCTTCTACATCAAATGATCTTGATTTTGTGTTAACAGATGTTGTGCCACACAGATTGAGTCAAGCAGAATTAAGTGATCTTGTTCGAGATCTGGACTTATCACAAGAAAAGGCAGATCTACTAAGGTTTAAAGCAGTGGAATCTTCTCCAATTTGATGTCAAGGTTTTACATTATAGAAAACGGCAGCAGAATCTGCTTTCTTTTTTTGAGAAGAAAAATAATCTTATTGTTTGCATTGATGTTTTTGGATTAATGTATTGTCTTGAACTATGACCCAACTGAATAGAGATTATTTATAGACTCATCTAAGCTAAGCTTGAAAGCTGTATTACTGAACAACAGAAACCGCCTTCCTTCTGTTCCTATTGGCCATGCAGTTCACATGAAAGAGAATTATATAAAAATGAAAGATCTCCTCAACTCAATTAATTACAATGAACGCAAGTAGAAAATTTGTGGTGATCTAAAAGTCATTGCTATACTTTTAGGAATGCAATTAGGGTATACTAAATACTGCTGTTTTTTGTGTATGTGGGACAGTAGAGACAGAAGTTCACATTATATAAAAGAAGACTGGCCTGCAAGAAATCTCAACACAGAAAAAAAAAATGTTATTGCTGAACCACTTGTGAATTCAAAAGATGTTCTTCTTCCACCATTACATATTAAGTTGGGTTTAATGAAAAATTTTGCCAAAGGTATGAACAAAGAAAGACAGGCTTTTATGTATTTAAGAAACAAATTTCCAAAAATAAGAGATGCAAAAGTTAAAGAGGGTATTTTTGTTGGACCACAATTACGCCAGCTTATAAAGGATCCTGCATTTGACAAAGTTTTGAAGGCGCAAGAAAAGAAAACTTGGGAAGTTCTTAAGGGAGTGATTTGTGGATTTTTAGGCAACAAGAGATGATAACTACATTCAATTGGTAACAATACTTCTGCAAAAATACCATCAACTTGAATGTAACATGTCCCTCAAGATTCATTTCCTCCACTCACACCTAGACTTCTCTCCCCCCCCCTTCCATAATTGTGGAGCTGTTAGTGATGAACATGGGGAAAGGTTTCACCAACTTATTTCTGTAATGGAACAAAAATATCAGGATCGGTAGAATGAGGCTATGCTTGCAGATTACTGTTGGTTTGTGTGTAGAGTGCTCCAGAACTAGTCTACAAAAGGAAAGCAAAAGGTTCTTGTGACGATACTTCATAATCACCTTTAAACCTATTAACTTGATGATCATGATTTCTTTGTTTAAAACTATTAGAATATATCTGTAATTAAAAAAAAACCAAATGTACTTTAAATGTTATTAGAATATGTCAGTGGCAGATTAAGACTTCTTGGGGCCTGAGGCTATTTTTGTTTTTGGAGGTTTTTTTATATGGGCCAGAGCCTAAAAATGACTAAAAAAAAAAAAAAAGCTAATAAAAAATTTTCGTTGTTATTTTCTTTTTTTCTCAGCCCAAAATTAGTATAATTTGAATGAAATTGCTAGATACAAAAAAAAAAAACATTTTTTTATTGCCCAGTGTAATTTTTAATGAAAAATCACAAAGAACAAGTTGTTTATTTTTATAGTTTTCAAAGTTTTTTTGTATTTTTCAGATAAAATTAACCACTTTTAATTATTAATTTTAAAAAATTATTCACTTTTTTTACTCTAATCATTATTAACTATATCTAATTTTTGTTCTCCTAAACCAATAAGTTATCATTATTTTGTCACCACTTTTATAAAATTCAACATTTAAAGAAGTTTTATATTTAGATCTTATGCATAAATTGAAATTATAATTGAATTAGGTGAGTTCACTGGACGTGTAAACACATCAAATACATTGACTTCGTTTGAGGCCTTTCAAGTATGATGTAAACAATATCTTTTAGTGATTTTGTTGCAACATTCTTGTACTACTTCATTCTAAGCTTTTATGGGAACATGATAATTTAAAATAATTCTCCTCCATAAACTGATATTTAATGGACTGTTGCTGGAGGTTTGATTGTGGGTGATTCCATGTCAACTCAAAAAAAAAAAAGTCACTTTATGTTTTGGATTTTGATAATTTTTATACATGTTATAGGGTTTATGAAAACTAGAAAAATCTGAAATTTGAATCTCCTACTATTTACAGTTCTTGAATTATTCATGTTTCAATTTTCTTGTTAAGCTGGCTCAGCATATTTTGTAACATGCATTTTTGTCATTAAATAGTAATATCTAATGAACTGATATCGACCTAAAATTTGGTATATCAAGACAATCTTTCATATGATTTAAGTATTCAACTAATACCTAACTTTCTAATAATTATTTAATGCAATAAAAGTTTTTCAAATTGCAATTTCAGTATAAATAGACATTTTCAAATATATTTTTTCATATATAATATATCTTTTAGCATATCTTTTTTTCAGAGTAGCTCAAGGCAGCCAATTTTTTTTTTTAACTTTTTTCAAGTTAATTAAGGTCATTTTGAATTTTAATTTTTTGCAATGGAGATCTTTTGAATGAGTTTTTTTTACAGCTTCATCAAAGTTGACTTGTTTTTTGTTGAAATGTTTTTTCAACAATATTTTTTATTAAACGGCTGATTTTTAAAATTTTTAAAGATTTATTAAAATTATTTTTACTGCCATCAAAAAGTAGATTCGATTTTAAATGATATATTATAGCCCACTCTTTTATTATTATCACCTTTTTTATTTGACCTAAACAAAATGTATCTAAAAACACTTTGAATGAGACAAAATCAATTTTTTTAATTCAAATGTATAACTTTGAATACTGATATCTTTGGAATTACAAATCAAACAAGATTAATATTTTGGGATTTTTTATGTATAGTGTATACTTTTAATCTACCTTGTTTCATCCAAAAGGCAATATTCTTTTGGCTGCCCTGTAAGCTGGCCTCAAATCATTAAACTGAGTTAGAGAGCTGTAAGAGATTAAGAGAACCAGAAAGAGTTGCACAGCCACTACAAAGAAAACAAGCAAAAACCAATGACATCATCATCCTAGACAGGAAACATTGCAACACAAGTTTGCATCTGTCAACCTATTGAATAAAAGTGGGCAAAGCTAGTCAATTGAAATTTATTCCTTACCTGATATGAATTTAAGTGTGTGTGTGGTATATATATATATATATATATATATATATATATATATATATATATATATATATATATATATATATATATATATATATATATATATATATACATATACATATACACATATATATACATAGATGCTTATTTATTAAAAACATCACTTTTACACCAACCTCATTTCCTTTAGAAACAAAAGAAACTTGTGAGATGGTTTGTTCAATCCATGATTTTCCAGAAGAAAGTCTTAATGAAACCACTTCACGACTTCGTTTTAGCAAGTCTGAATTCATTTGATCTGATTTAATACTCTGGTCTATTTCTTGTTGTGAAAGAGGATCAAAATCTTTAAGATCAAAAACTTTTTCATTAGTATTCGATATGATTGGTGGTTTTTCTAATTTCTGATCAAATGGTTTAATATCCACAAAATCTCCAAGTAAGTCAACATTGTTTGAGTTGTCATCTTTGTTAAAAGGATCAAACGAAGATATATCAGCTAAATAAAAAGTTACATTTTTAAACTTTAAAAATGCTTTTAAGATTATGTAAAAAAAAAAATTATAAGAATAAATATTTTGAAAAAAAACTAGCAATAAAAAGCATAATTCAATCAATACTTAAAAATGAAAAAATCTGAAAAAAATTGAATAAAAAAATCTTTTTTTTTTTTGTTATCAGAAAATGTAAAACATATGTTAATGGAATTTCTTTAGACATTTATAAGCTTTCAAAAAAAAGTTGAATAGACTGTGCAAACTATTTTTTTTCTTTTAAAAAATACATGTTAATTATCAATTCAATGCAATTCGTATTTTTTTACATAAATAAATGAATAAAGTAAATATAGTTCTTTTTTTTCATAACTTTTTTTCTAAACAAAAATATTAAGGAAAAACAATCTGCTTCAATATCTTTTAAACTTCAATCTCTTTTGTTTAATAATTTATTTTCTTTAGTAATTATTTGGCTAACAGTTTTTTAAATTTTCACACCTAAAACTTGAGCTTATTTACAACTTATAGACTATAAAACATGAATTATGACTAATAGATTCTAAATAAAACAAAAATGAGAAATTAAGCTACATATCTAACTTTATTGTGGAACTTTTTAATGTGTTCATTATTAATGGATATTAAATTTTTTATCATATTTTCATATATCATACTTTTTTTAAACTTTTTGGAAAATTTTGTTTTTACTTGCTGTGATATTAAATAAGTTTATTTAAAATGATTTTTATACATAGTGTGTCTTTTATTCTATTTTTTAGAAAAATTATCTTTTTCTTTTTTTTAGCAATATGATCTACAAAAAAAAGGTAAGAACAGTTTCTATTTTTATTTAATAAAAAACATGTAAATAGTTTACATATTTTTCTTAAAACATATCCTTGATTTAGTTATTATTAAAAAAACAAACAAAATGTAATTGTAAAACTTTAGATACATGACTCAATAAAAAACATGTAACTGTAAAAAATGACTTACTGACTACCGGAGTTGATAAGCTTATTTTGCTAATTTCACTTAAGGGCCAACTACCTATGAGTAAAAAAGCTGCAATAAACAAGTGATATATATATATATATATATATATATATATATATATATATATATATATATATATATATATATATATATATATATATATATATATATATATATACATGTGAAAAGGAAACATCTTAATTCAAAAATATTAAACTTTTTTTATGTTTGATACAAGTTAAAGTTTTCATTAACTCTATTCAAAATAGAAAACATGACAGCGTTACACAATTCAGAGCTTTTAAAAAATTGTCACAATAAAAAGCCACACAAAATTAGCAACAGAAATGTTTGTACGCCACAAAAAGGAATAACTTTTCAGACCATATTTTACATTCTTTAATGCGGCAGCTGTTTTAAGATTGAGTGAAACTAAGAAAAAAATCTTATAATATTAAAAATTCCATGATGAGTGAACAGAAAATTCTGATGATTAGTAAATTATGAAAATATGTCAATAATAAAACAATCACCATTGCCCATTTACATATTTACATTTACATTTACAGTTTGTAAATAAGAAAAAACAACATTTTAGTATTATTTTTTTAGCTTTCTTTTTTTCCCTCCACATGTTTTTAAAAGGTCAGATCATTTATTTACATAAAATTATAAATTCATACTATGCTACTATATTAAAGAGTTTTTTTTTTCTTAAAAATAGAAAACAACTACTGTAGGTGAAGTAAATTCTATTTTCCTGTGGAGGTTAAAATAACCGGATTTAAAATGTTAGTGGGTGTACATTGTCTACTCATTTTTTGAAACCGTTTTCCGTTAAAAAAATCTTTGCCTACAGCACATAAACTAAACTTGTATTTCTAAACAATATTCACTAACTCATAAGTTTGCTATATACTTACATAAAGTTTAATTGATATTTTCTTTATAATATTATAGTCTAAAGCTATGCTCTTATAAAACAATGCTTTTATAATCAAATAATCATTACCCCTTTTGTACTAGAAATCAAAAATTCCAAATAAGTTAGAAGTTACTAAAAAATCATGTCATAAAATTGAAAACTTAAAGTGATAATAAAAAGTGATGATATTGATAAAAATAATGATTGACACAAAAATATTGAATGAAAATAAAGCACCAACCAAAACTATAATTCTTATTTATAATTAACAATACAAGTACTAAATGAATTACCATCAGTTGAACAACTTGATTTATTATATTTTTTTAACCAATCAAATGATAAATTTGTTTCAGAAATAAGAGCCACTAAAGACAAAAAAATTATTAAAAAAACATTTCTATGTGTGTTTTTTAATACCAAACAGGTTACTCTAATAAAATTATCATAAATTATAATTATTATTACAAATATTATACAAAATTATACGATGTATTTGATAAATTAAAAAAAAAATCAACTCTTAAATTAATTAAAAAAAAAAAACCATAAGCCTATAAAGTTTTAAAAACTAGAAAACTTTTAAGAACTTGAAGCAAATGGTTTTGAATTTTCTTTTAAAAGTTGTCAACTCAAAAAACTTGAAACGTTTGAAAAAATTTTGATGGCTCTTAAAACTTCTTTCAAAAATTTTAATTAAATAATATTGTTGTAAAATACCTCCATGAATTTGTAAGAGTAATGTAAAAAACGTATTAGTGGCTTCGCCAGTAGTAAATTCAGCAGTATATGTTGTTAAACCAGATGATACTTGATACTGGATTTCTGTATCTATACAATATAATTAATGAGAAGTGATTTAAAATAAAACAAAATGTGATAACAAAAAAAAAAACATTTTTTTTGTTATCACATTTTATTTTTTAAGCATTTAACAAAAAGTTAAATGCTTAAAAAATAAAATATGTGAAAAAGTTGAACATTTTCATCAATCCATTAAATATGGCAGTTTTAGAAATTTTAACTTAGTCACAATATTTTATTCACACATTTATGTTAAAAATGTATTTTAGTTAAAAAAAGTAAAAATAATTAAAATTAAAGGTTTGCAGTGCTCTCATATAAAAAAAGCATAAGAAAAAAAAAATGGTTTGGCTAATTAAGGTAGGAGATGGTAGTATATATCTTATTTATCTTTTTTTATATATATTTAAAATGTCCTAAAATCTCTGTTTTATTCATTTGCAAGTGCTGCCAACATAGGTTCAATCTAGTTAAGTGGCATCAATCTAGGAGTAGTTGTAAGTAATTAATTGCTCTGTAGGTTTGTCACAACATGATTTTCTGATTCTCATTAGACTTATCAAGATCGAATATCTTTATCATAGGTACTGACTAAAATTAAAGTTACAATGAGGTCTATTAAATAAATTTATCTAATGTAAAACATATACAAAAGTTACAATCTATAACTAATTATGATATATAACATAATATATAACACCGTTTATTTAAAAATTTTAAATAAAATTTTCAAGTTTATATTCTTTATTTAGCTGAGCATAAAATATCTTAAAGAATTAGTTTAACTTTTATATTTTGCTTAAGCTTCATTTTTTTTTCTTTTTTAGTAACTTTAGATGGCTTTATCAACATTGTAAACATTTGAAAAAAAGCGCAATGATCCACTATTTCCCTTGATAACAGATCTAAAACTTTTATTTAAAAAAAAAGAAAATATTGTCTGTTAATACATATTCAAAAAGCGCAATTCAATATTAAAGATAAACAATATACTTATAACAATATAACAATATAAAAATATGATATGAATATTTGGTAAATACATATGAAAAAGTAAAACAAATGTAAACTTACTTGTTTTATTAGATGTGCCTAAATCAAAATTATAAAATATTTGTAACAGATATCCAACTTTCAAAATTTACATACTTTTTAAAAATTTTAAAAATTAAAAATTAAATAAAAATACTAAATTTTCAATATAAAATTAAACATACTAAATCCAAAACTTTCATCTATGGCCAATGCATATTTTGAACGAATATTAACTTCTTTTGAACCAATACCAGGATGGGTGATGATAAGTAAGCTATGTGCAATAAAGTGCAATAAAGTACAATAAAGTTCAAGAGCAAAAGCTTTTATAATATATATATATATATATATATATATATATATATATATATATATATATATATATATATATATATATATATATATATATATATATATATATATATATATATATATATATATATATATATATATATTGTGTATATAGATAAGCAATTGCTTGCTAATTTTGCTTACCATTATAGCATACAACATTTTCAGAAAAAGAAAAAAATTATATATATATCAGCACAACAAATAACAGGCAGTCAACAGTCAACAACCACCTAAAATAAAAAAAATTTGCCATTTGACTTCTCAAAATGAGTTCTTGCCAGTCAAGGTTAACTGGTTAAAAAAATCTATAACTAAAAAAATGAGCATTTACAAGCAACCTGGATGTATTTTGAAAATAATAAATATTCATAATATATAAAATATTTCAGACTGAAATATTTTGAAAGATCATTTAAAATACTTTTATTGTTTATGATAAGTTTTTCACTTTGTTTATGCATATTTTATATGAGGTAAGCTATATTTTAACTTTTTACACATCTTTAGTCTCATTTCACTGTAATATTAATGGCTTTTTTATACTTGAATAAAGTTTTTATTTCATTTTATTTCAATTTTCTGTTGTTAATTAAAAACATTCTTTTTTTAATTTTTTTGTTTTTGTTTTTTTGTTTAATTTTTTATTAAATCTTTTTAAAAAAACTCATAATTTTGCAGTCAATTGCAAAGTCATTTCAATGTGATTGTAAACCTGTTTAATTTGCAACTGTGCAATTTAAATAACTATAGTTACCATTAGCGCATTTTAATTATCGAGTTTGCATTTTGAGAGAACATTTTTATTTTTGAGTATCAAGAAAAAGTACAGCATTTTTAACATTTAAAAACGCTTGTGTACATTGTAAAGTATTAGAGAGTAAAAATTTATTAAAGTCTTTTTAAATTAAAATTTTTTCATGTTTAGTTAACAACTTTATAAAAATTTAATTATATTATATAACATTTAAAACTACTTTCATGTTGATGTTAACAATTTTTTTTCAACCTGTTACAAAAGTGCTAATATATGCTAATATACTAAAAGTGTTTAAGTTTATATAAATGCATTGCAGGATAAACTCTTATCAAGCCTGTAGAAAAAATTACTTTAGAAAATTTTTTTAGCAAACTTTAAAGAACAAATTTTTGAAAATTTTTTTATATAGTTTTTAAGTTGTTTTTAAACAAAAGTTTTTCCATTATCAATGCTAACTTTGACCACTGCTCAATTAAGATTTCTTGTTTTTTCTAAAACTTTGATTTTTGGTTGATGACTTGATGGCATAAAAAAAGAAATAAGTTAAAAAACTTTTAGAAAAATAAACTTTTCTATTATTTATTATTAAAACAAAAAAATATGAAACAATCTGCTTCTTTGACAAAAAAAATCACAATTGCAGTTAAATGGCTTTATTACTACTTAATATTCTCTGACCAAATAACATTATTTTTTGTACTCCAAGTAAGCAGGGTAACACTTCTTAAAAAGTTGGCAGGTATCTATTTCAGTATGATGCACTAGTGCGTTTCTAATGCTGCATTCATATGAGTATATAAATAATATATATATATATATACATATACATATACATATATATATATATATATATATATATATATATATATATATATATATATATATATATATATATATATATATATATATATATACATATATATATA